GGTAGTTGGTTCCAAAGGAGAGGAGCCTGATAACTAAAAGACCTGCCTCCCATTCTACTTTTAGAAATTCTAGGAACCACTAGTAAACCTGCAGATTGAGAGCGAAGTGCTCTGTTAGGAACATAAGGAACAATCAGATCTCTGATATAAGATGGAGCTTGGCCATTTAAGGCTTTATATGTGAGAAGGAGGATTTTAAATTCTATTCTTGATTTAACAGGAAGCCAATGAAGAGAAGCCAGGATAGGCGAGATATGATCTCTCTTTTTAATTTTCATTAGAACTCTGGCTGCAGCATTTTGGATCAGCTGAAGGCTTTTAACTACAATTTGTGGACTTCCTGATAGTAAAGAATTACAATAGTCCAGCCTTGAAGTAACAAATGCATGGACTAGTTTCTCAGCATCACCCCTGGACAGGATATTTCTAATTTTTGCAATGTTCCTCAGATGAAAGAAGGAAATTCTAGAAACCTCTTTGATATGGGATTTAAATGACAGGTCCTGATCAAAAATAACACCAAGATTTTTTACTTTATTATCTGAAATCAGTTTAATCCCATCCAAATGAAGTGACTGGCTAATCAGTTTCTTTTTCAGAGACTCTGGTCCAAAGACTATAACTTCTGTTTTATCTGCATTCAGAAGCAGAAAGTTAAGAGTCATCCAGGTTTTTATGTCTTCAAGACATGCCTGTAATCTATGTAATGGGTTAGCTTCATCTGGATTTATAGCCAGATATAGCTGGGTATCATCAGCATAACAGTGGAAATTAATCCCATGCTGTCTAATAACTCTACCAATTGGGAGCATGTATAAAGTAAAGAGAATTGGTCCTAGCACTGATCCCTGTGGTACTCCACAGGTAACCTTTGAGCGTGTTGAAGATCTATCATTAACATGAACAAACTGAATTCGATCAGATAGATAAGATTTAAACCAGTCTAGTGCTGTTCCTTTAATTCCAACAAAATATTCAAGTCTTTCTAAAAGAATATTATGGTCAACTGTATCAAATGCAGCACTAAGATCCAACAGGACGAGCACAGATACAAGTCCATTATCTGAGGCCATGAGAATATCATTAGTGACTTTCACCAGAGCTGTTTCAGTGCTATGATGAGCTCTAAAGCCAGACTGAAACTCTTGAAAAAGTTCATTATGGTGTAAGTGATCGCAAACTTGTTTGGCAACTACTTTCTCAAGAATTTTGGATAAGAAAGGAAGATTGGATATAGGTCTATAATTGACCAAGTCATCTGGGTCAAGAGACGGTTTCTTAAGCAGAGGTTTAATTACAGCAACCTTAAAAGCTTTAGGTACATATCCCTGTAACAGAGATAGATTAATCACATCTAAAATGGAGGAGGAGATCAAAGGGAATACCTCCTTAAATAACCTGGTTGGAACTGGATCTAACATACAAGTTGAAGGCTTAGATGAAGACAATAATTTTGCTAATTCAGAAAGTTCAACTGGATCAAAGCAGTCTAAACCCGGTTCAGATTCCATGACTACCTCAGGTACAATCACGGATAGAGGAGTGCTTATGATTTTATTTTTAATAAGATCAATCTTATTTATAAAGAATCCCATAAAATCATTGCTGCTAAGAGCAGGTGGAATGGACGGTTCAACAGAGCTATGGCTCTGGGTGAGTTTGGCAACTGTATTAAAAAGAAATCTAGGATTATTCTTATTCTTCTCTATTAATGAGGAGAAGTATGCTGCTCTTGCTTTACAAAGGGTCCTCTTATACAGCATTAAACCATTTTTCCAGACTAGGAAGGAAGTCTTGGTTGATTACTTTTTTTTTATATTCCCTCCTGCAATTTTTTGCACTAATTAAAATGTCTTTAAATACACATTAACATGAATTCAACACACTGTAGTAAACAGATAAATGAAAGCAGAAGATGTCTTTCAGTCATCAATGCACACATTTAGCGACACACAGAAGCTCTTTCAAACATGGGCACCGTTTCATTCATAACACCTGTCCCATCAACCAGGAATCAGAATCAGAAATACTTGAATAATCCCAGGGAGAAATTACTTTCATTACATGACTCCATATGTAATAGAGTGACTATAGGACCAGTTTGATATAACACAATTTCATACAATATATATAATTAGGGGTCCCTGCTCCATCTCGCCATCAGTTTGGGGGTCCTTGGCCTCAAAAACATTGGACCCCTGCTCTAAGTGATGTCATAGGGATGGTTTACTCTGTAGCTTCCACTTCAAAATATGGGAAATACCAGCAATACCTCAGAACCGAAAACAGTTAAGCAATCTGATGAAAAATAAATACGAAAAGACACTAGAGCAGGGGTCTGCAACCCAAACTGTTCAAAGAGCCATATTGGACCAAAATAACAAATCTGTTCGGAGAAGCAAAAATGTAAAAAAGTCTTATAGAAGCCTCGTATGGCAACAAGGGCACTAAGTGTACTAGCCAACTAAAAAAAAGGACTACGTTGGCTTAAATTTATAACAAGCATTCAGGATCTAATGTTTATCCTGTGTCAAATGTCACATCATGAGACTACTCTGCTGTACGATATTCGGTGATTGAAGTTTAAAATTCCATAGTAGCACAAGGTGAGGGAGGAGCATTGAACACTCTCACTGGGTGATGTTCACTACTCGCCGCTTCACCGCCCTTCACCGTGTGGTTTGTATGTATTAGGTGTTGCTGCATTGATGAAATTATAGAAACACGATAAAGAAATACAATTTCTGGTTTTATTTTTATTTTGTGGATTTGAGGAGAAATGGAACAGATTTCCATGCTTGCAAGAAAACTGGCAGCAGTAGTCGAGTTTGGAGATGCAGTTCACCTCTTAAATCTGTTTTTGTGGTCATTTAATTTATCCAGAAGTTCTGCAATCGCACTTTTTCTGTCACTCTCAACTGGTCGGCTGAATATATAGCACTCCTTCCCTGGAAATGCATTTTCAAATGACTCTTTTTATTACTTGACAATTTCTCATTACACAACAAACATGCAGGCAATCCTTCCACATTGGTAATTGGGATTCAGAGGGACCTACCCGCTCCAGCCGGTGAACAATACCTCCTTAACGACCGACTCTTAACAATCATAGACAGGTTTCGGGTATTACAGGAGACACTCCCCCCCCTTAACGGCAATCCCCCCTCCTGTAACGACCGACCCTCAGAATCATAGACAGGTTTCAGATATTACAGGCTAACGATGGGACCAAACGACCCATTCATCGGTTACCATTTGCATGTTTCCAAGCGATACAAGGCATTGTCTATATAATACTCAAACTTACTGCGGATCCAGACATTTGAATTGAGAAAGCTTCCTAGAGAGGTGGCGAAACGTCTTCAAATCTTGGAAACCAAGTCCAGTGGATTTTTTATTTTTATTTTTACGGAATGCATCACGAAGTCTTTCATGATGCAATTTATATAAAATTCAAATAATGGCCAACGTGATGTGTTGTAATTTTCCCTTGTTACACAAGTTGTCATCCATCCATCTTCTTCCGCTTATCTGAGGTCGGATGTGGGCTTAGCGGCTTCAGTAGGGAGGCTCAGACGTCCCTCTCCCTAGCCACTTGGACCAGCTCCTCTGGGGGAATCCCAAGGCGCTCCCAGGCCAACCGAGAAACATAGTCCCTCCAACGTGTCCTGGGTCTCCCCCCGGGCCCCCTCCCGGTGGGACGTTCCTGGAACACCTCACCAGGGAGACGTCCAGGAGGAATCCGAAGAAGATGCCGGAGCCACCTCAACTGGCTCCTCTCGATGTTGAAGAAAACTGCTCTACTCTGAGTCCTCCCCAGATGACTGAACTCCTCACCCTATCTCTAAGGGAGAGCCCAGACACACACAAGTATTTACACTGATATCAACTCTGCAACTACATCTCAAACAGTTTTGGATTCTTTTATGTGTGATTGTATGATGGGTTGCAGTGGGGCTGGTGCCTATCTCCAGCAGCCTATGGGCGAAACCAGTCCATTACAGATAATAATAATAATAATAATAATAAAAACAACAACAGTAATAATAATAATAATAATAATAATAATAATAATAACAACAGTAATAATAATAATAATAGAAAACCTGTTTACTATAGTCTCATGCCTTGTAAATTTAAAAAAATGTTTATCTTTAAAGTTGACAATGTGGGATCATATTTTCAGGTTTTGATGTAGTAGAATAATTGATTATATAATTGATGTATTATTACACAACATTATTAAACAACTTGAAGTTCAAACCAGAGCGAGCACAGATTAGATGACCAATAGCTTTAATCTATTGTAGGGCAATGGTAATACACACCAGCCATCTTTAGCAGCTTATCTATCAAGGTCACAATCATGCACACACATTCATACTTAAGGGCAAATAAGAATAACCAATCAACTTAACAGTCATGTATTCTGACTGAGCGAGGAAGCTGGTCAAACCTATAGAAAACCCATCCATACACATGGAGAACATGTAAGCTCTATGAAAAAAAGACTGGGAATTGAACCCATGACCTTCTTGCATCATGGCGACATTGCTACAAACTCTGCCAACCTTATACACACCAAAATATGTCTAATAGTCTTTTTATTAAAATGTTCTGCAAATATTAACCTCTCTTAACAAATTTTGGTAAAATACTTGACAAACAATGTTATATTGCTTTGCTCTTGTAAAGGGCTATCAATTACATTTAAGACATGCACAAAAACAAAGACATCTCCACCCTAACACACACATATGGACACTTATATGTACACCCCCAGAATCAGACAGATCTGGCTGGGGCCCAAGGGCCTGAGTCCACAGGCAAGAAAAGCAGGAGGCCAGCAATCTGGGCACATTAAAGGAGTGTGAGTGTGTGTGTTGATGTGGGGGTAGCTTTGTTGTATGTGCATGTGTTAGCATGACCGAGTTAGAGGAGGGACAGTAAGAAGTGGGTGGAGTGGATGAAGATCCTGAGGGAGGTGTTGTGATCTCTCTGTAGCTCTTCGTCACAGCACCTTTGAAGGAACTGAAGTTAACAGCAGTTGAGCTTAAACAAACTCCGACAACTGCACATGAATGTACTTTTTTTTTTTTGTCAATGGAGCAAACCGGATAGCTCTATGGCAGTACGCTAATTGTCATCATGTTGTCAGAGGTTCCTTTAAGTTCCTGAAGTGTTCACAGGGGAGAAAATATTCCTGGAAGACTAGCCTAACTGGACCTCAGGTAAGTTTTCTGTTGCACTCTAACTCATGTTACTATTTAATGTGTAGAAGGTCTCTACTCTAACAGTACACTTATCACAGCACTAGATGATTTGAAAACAAATGTGCGGAGCAACAGGAACAAAACTTTTATTTAATGTTACTCATGGAGTTTCTTCTGGTGTCTTTTATTATTCTAGATTTATTTTTTATGTTTGAACAAATCAGATAAACAAGATTCAAACAAATTTTATCTGTGTCAAAGAAAGGAAAACATCTTTTGTTGCAGGTCAACTTTAAATCCAATATTTGCATAATAAAAGGAATAAGGAGCAGCTACATTTCATGCACGTTAGCACATGCACAGTTTCTCTCATCGAAAACTTCTCCCTCAATGTTTTCCATTTTTCAACTTTGACCTGATTTAGAAGCTGAATTGCTCAATCAAATTGGTGCAAGTGCACAAATCATTTGCAGCAACAGAAGATCAGCCTTGCTTTTTTGGTTTGGCCTTAAGGTGAAAGTGTATCCTCTGGCTTCTGTCACTTTCTCGATAGGTTTGCCTGCACACATACACACTGATAGAGGGTTTGTAATAAATGGACATACAGATAACCTTCAAGGAATTTCCCAATCAATTACTTTAATGACTTTCCTAACTGGAAAATAAAAAGAAAAACATTTAAAAAGCAAATTGGTGTTTTTGTTGAAACATATTTGTTGTTTGGTAATGTTTATAATTGCAAGGAGCATTGTTAAATTATTTGAAGTTTCTTTATGTCTTCTTCAATTCTAGATTTTGTAATTAGTTTTCTGAAGAACTATTGTTGCAATCTTACCAAATCTAAATGAAACCACTGTGTGTAAAGAGAGCTTTTCTAAAGCCTAAAATGTCATTTTAAAGCAAATCTAAAGCTTGTTTATGTTTGATAAGAAGGTAGTTGTGAGGTATTGATAAGAAATTTTGATGATACTTAAAAGATTACCAGAGCTGTCAGCAGTGCAATGAGATATGAGCTTCAGCATTTCGTTTAACCTGCTGGACTTTTGATCTGTTTTTCTGTCTATGTGAGTGTTATTTAAATGCCAAATGAAAACCTTATTAGGTTGGGCTAAATGTTCAAGTACTCTTATGTATCCTTTCTACATCAGCTAACTTCCTGTTGTCATATTGTTTGAATGAATTATTGGGAAGCAGCAGCTTTTCTGGACCCTCTTTGTAATTACAGCCTTTACTATGACACTGGGTGTTGGGGCTTATTTATGTGGAGGGGCTTTTTAACTTTAATTGACATCCTTGACCCTTCCACTCAACCCCTCACCCTTCACTTGACTCCACCTAAACTGTATCATTATAAAGGATACCCCCTGATTATCTTGCTCCAATTTGGGCCATCAGATACAATACAAAAGTCACTGAACTACAGTCATCAGTTAAGGATAAAATTTAACAATCCCAAGTAATTGCTTAAACACTTTTTGCAATTCATAGGCCTGCACAATATGAAGAAGACATTGCAATTATTCTATAGATTTCCACAAACCAACATTTTTCTCCCTCCCCTCTTTTTCCCCAACATGAGGATATTCACAACACGTGCTTTAAACTTTAATATCCTGCTCTCTGAGGTTGACAACAGAAAAACACAATGATAATTTAAAATGTTGACCCTTTAAATGCTTTACCTTTGAAACAATCCATCATCCATCCATTTATTTTGTAGTTGTGATGACTATTAAGATTCAGTGTATTTTCAACTAACATGGTTGCATGTCCTGTACAGTGGAGCAGTGGGTTTGCATTGCTGCCCTGCAGCAACAAGGTTCCCCGTTTGATTCCCGGCCCGGGGCCTTTCTGCATGGAGTTTGCATTTTCTTCTCCCGTGGGTTCTCTCTGGCTTCCTCCCACAGTCCAAAAACGTGAATTGGCCACTCTAAATTGTCCTTAGGTATGAGTGTGCATGGTGGTGTGTCTTTGTGTGTCTCTGTGTTTCCCTGCGACAGACTGGCGACCTGTCCAGGGTGTACCCCGCTTCTCGCCTTTAGACTGCCGGAGTTAGGCACTGGCCCCACCGTGACCCTGACAAGGACTAAGTGGGCTAGACACTTCACCCACATTGCCTACTGATGGTGGTCAGAGGTCAGTGGTGCCAGTTTACGGCAGCCTTGCTTCTGTCAGTGAGCCATAGGGCAGCTATGGTTACAATTTAGCTTGCCAACATAAGTGTGTGTGTGAATGTGTGTATGACTAAAAAAAGCGCTGTTTAAGTACAGATAATTAACCATTTACCATATTAAAGAAACTCGTTGTAGGTTAACCTTTTAATGTTTGCTGTTTAGGGGTCTAGGGATTAAAACAAATCACCCTGTTTCAACAAAAAAATATATGCACTCTGAAAGAACCCTTTAGCACTTTTTAGATTATTTTATAAACCAGTTGGAGGTGAGAATCTTATAATATAAGATATAAGATAATATCTCGGTCCTCTGGTTTTGTGCCAATGCATCCTTTGTGGAAATAATGACTGCAGGTATGTCTGTATGTCCGTTTGGTCATTAGAATTGATCTGCATATTGATTATGGTAAACATGCAAAAGATGGTTTGCACTTGATGTGATTCTGCTTAATTGCAAACGTAAATCACTTTGCCCCTTCTGTTAGATCTGCTCTGCACATAAAACACCATTGCAACTATGTTAGGATGCTTAAACCCTTACAAGATCAGAACCCATGTGCACTGAAGCTTACTGGAATCGACAGTCCTTTATATTTCATAGCATACTGTCACTTTAATAGATAACAATATTATGAAAAAGGGCACTTTTTGTTTTAATGATTTGCAGCATCTTTCATTTTCCTTTTTAGCACAAAATAAGTTAAATACAAATTTAGTTTTCAATACAGTTAGTTACTGTATTTTATTTTAATAGAATGAGATTTAATCTCTACATCAACAAATGCAGAGTAAATGTTAAAACACTGTGTTGTGCTTGTTCTCCACAGGTTGTTTTATTTATATTTGATGTATGATCCTTAAAGCTTTATTGAGCCATCCTGTTAACATGACGAAGCACCTGACAGGTTTTTCCTACCTGGACTATTTTCTTGAAATTTTCAATTTCACAGTTCATAAGATTTTGCGCCTCAAGTTTCTCTCTGTGGCTCTTTCATGCAAAGTTTACCAAAGCAGAAGAAAACCAAAGGCACTAAAGTATAAAATGAGGTTCTTTCAAATTTAAAAGAAAAACAAAACATTTACATTAGATGTGCTCCTGCCATCTTTGTTAAGTAGTACCGGACCAAAATGTATTTCTGCATAACCTTAAAGGTCAAGATAGCCCTTACTTATTGTCAGTTTAGGAGAGTTTTAAGGGCACGCCCTTCTCAGACAGGGGTTAATATCATAACCTCGCCCTAAAATAATCTGAAGAGTCTGGTCTTACTGTAGGGATTAGCTGTGAGAAAAAAAAGAAAAAAAAAAAAGAAAGACAAAGCTAAATAAAATTTCTGCAAGGATAAAAAAAAAAAAACTAAAACAAATTTTGCTCTTGTAAAATATTTTTTCTTGAAAAGTTAGAGGAACAGCGGACCAATGAAAGTTTTATCTTAAATGTAGTTGCAGTTTTATCTTTAGGATAATGTGTTACAAGAGGAGCATAACTCTTGCTACCAACTGGACTTATTTACTCAGGTGCCAGAGGTCAGAGCCATTGAGAACTGAAAAAAAGCAAAGTGAGAACGGAGTGCTGGGAGGCATTTCACTGAAATAACAAGAGGGAGTGAGTTATCCAGTCTGTACTACCCAGACCCCCCCTCTACTACAACTTAATCTACTTGTAACTTCTTGTGAGTACTACTGCTTTTTGATGCTTTGATTAGCTCCAAAGCAAAACTGACTTCCATGGCATTTGTCTAATGCCATCTCTAGTAGAAATCATTTATTTTTCCACTGTTAAAACTGTAATTTTTTTTCTCATCTACTCCAAGAACAAGTGTGGATTTTTAGGTTTAGGCTTCACTGATTAAAACCGATCAATAGATGCACAGTTATAACATTGTTTTATCGTTTCATAGTAATCAATATTATTAAGATTGTTTTATTGTTTTTGAGAAAATAGTTGCACAACTAGTGGTTATCCTCACATTCATGTGACACACAAAAACGACAAATCTAGCTACTAATTAGCCAATCACTGATCATTGTGAACACTGTTCAGTTTAGCTAATGCAGGAAAAAAGTCAAGGGGACACATTAAAGCTTTAATTACCTGAAGCAAAATAGGAATATTGGAAAAACTAATACAGCATTAACTTTAATGATTGATTCTAATACAGAGTGAAAATAATGTCGATATCAGTTTTGCAGGATGACTACATTAGTTGCTTTAAAACCAGTGTTAAAATATTTTAAATCTAAAAAAAAATTACAGATTGAGTAACTACAAACAGTATTCAAATAAAAAGCTATCCAGGCAAACTTGGCCCATTTGACATAGTGTAATTGCCCCCTAAACCTAATAACTGGTTGTGCAGCTCTTGGCGCCAATAACTGCCTTCAACTGCTGGCAGTAACTAGAAATCAGTCTTTTACATCCCTTTGGAAAAATGTTCCGTTCAATGTTCTTCGTGGGAATTATTTCACTTAGGTAAAATAGAAAATTTTATAGACATTAGTGATCATTTTAAGGTTATTCTCTGCATGTCAGATGGATGTTACAGTACACCTTGTCACTAAAAGACCATTTTGTTTCATTGGCCCATTCAAAAGTAAATTTGTTGTAAACCTAAATAATAGGCTAAGGTTGCAATTATCCACTTTTGACCTTCAGGAAGAGTAGGTAGGTTAAGATAGACCTTGTCCTTAAGAAACACTTTTTGTATCCAGTTAAAATATGTTTGTCCAATATTCCAACATGTTTAGTAATCCTAAAATCGAAGTCATAAAAGAAACCTAAGCAAGAAGATTATTTTTAACCTTAGGATGGATAATATGAAAACCTGTGAGGCAGAGGAATTATTTT